CTGTCAGGGAAGCTGTTCTGTTCATCCCGAGATTGAAGACCTCAGACAAGCAAGCTGTCACTGGCTGTTCTCATTCATGAAGATAAATATCATTTCAGACTAGAGCTGTGATTTACTCTATTTGTTCTTAATGACCTGTCAATCTGCTTTTTCTCCTACTCCCTCATCAAAGGCACCCTTCCAATCTGATGTTAGACAGGCTGAGTGGAAAAATCCTGCATATCGACTTTGGGGACTGTTTTGAGGTAAGTCGAAGGTATTTGAACATAAACTTCAGTAATGTTTTGCATTCTCTGATAGGTCCAAAATCTATTTGTAAGTCAAGAAAAATAGACCTTGAAGAGTAGTCCTGAGCAACCTGTTTGGCTCTTCTTTGGGTTTCACTTTTACCTATGGGTGAAAATAGAATGAGTTTTATCTGGGAGGCATGTCTTGGTGATAGCTAACACTCTGAAACAAGCCAAGATGTATTAGCTATTAGCATCACTGTTCTGTAAAATTGCCTGGAGCAGTTTAAGCTACTAATTGGAAATTTTTGTTATTAGCATTAGCAACATGGGCACATGTTTGAATTGTCCCTGTTTCCGAGTTAATCAGCTAGCTTCTCCCTCAAATTTGTGGAAGCTCAGGAATACAAAGCTGGGACTTTCTTTGGAGTATAACCCTTAAGGGTGTAACAAGAAAAACAGTACTTGTTAACTCTTAATAAGTTAGCCATTCATTTACTAATTCTCCATTATTTGTTTAGGTTGCAATGACAAGAGAGAAGTTCCCTGAGAAGATTCCGTTTCGGTTGACAAGGATGCTGACAAATGCTATGGAGGTAAGTATTCCCTCTTTGATATGAAGGGAATTGTTCCTAGGGAAAACGGCACCTATCTCTAAATCTTTTTTTCCTGTATTATGGCTATGGTTTTCCTGTATAGGTTGTGTTTGCACCTCTCCACTCCTGCAAGAGGGAGAGATGTAAGTTACTGCTTCAGCTTCATTTTCAGGTCTTGTGGTCTTTACAGTGCATCACAGTGGAATGGAAAAAAGAAAGGAAATTTCTTCACTGATGGAAAAAAGAAAGGAAATTTCTTCCATTTTTTAGGCCTTCCATAATTTCCTTGTTTCAAAATAGGTTTTACATCAACCAAACACAACCAATAGCATGGTGCTTTACGGTGGTCGATTTGATGTCGGAGAAGAGCTTAGGATGTAGGGATCATCTCTCTTGTTCTGATGAACAGAGACTGACAGAAGTGAATTTTAATTCAAAGCACGAGCCTTTTCCTGCTCCCTAAAAATCAGGATTGGAGTTGCATAATGAACAAAGCAGCATTTTTGATGGCTTCTTTCTCTTCTGAAGGTGACGGGCCTTGATGGCAATTACAGAATCACCTGCCACACAGTGATGGAAGTCCTGCGTGAGCATAAGGACAGCGTCATGGCTGTGCTGGAAGCCTTTGTGTATGATCCATTACTGAACTGGAGGCTGATGGACAGTAAGTTTTTCTGATAGAACAGTGACACCAGGAGAGTCATCAATCTCATTAAGGTTATATTTGAACAAGAAATGCAGAAGCATAAAACCCAGTGTCTGTTTGAAGGCAGACAGACTGATTATATTGTTGATTTGCAAGTGCTATTTATTGTACGTGGTTTTGGGGATTGTAGTGTAAACTTTTAATCACCACAGTGATTAAAACCATTTTTGCCCTTAAACAGAGGCACAGGACTAAGCTACATGCAAAACGGTTTGAGTTGTCCTTCTGTTAGCTGTCATCAAGAGATTAAAAGCCATTTCAGGTGACATTTGGAGAAGGAGAAAGTCAGCCAAGCATATACTGTATGTGGACAGGCAAATTTGCTGCAAACCTTTGAAACTTGAGTTCATCTTTTTTAGTTCTTTTATTTTCTTGCAGCAAACACAAAGGGCAACAAACGCTCACGAACAAGAACAGACTCCTACTCAGCCAGTCAGTCAGTAGGTGAGTAAAAATAATGCATATCACAAACATTTGGGGCATTTTCTTTTTTTTAACAGTATGCAAGGCCATGAAGGTATTTTTAGCCTTATTTCTTCTCAGCAGCAGACAAAGAGCTTATTGTCATTAGCTTAAGGACTAAGTGTTGAATTTGGTACATGACTCAAACAGCAGATGCTCATTTACAGTTGTATTAACACTACCGTGGGGCACATGAACTGTTATAAACCAAATCACAGTTGCCATGTGATAGTTATTTACTTAGCCACCACATTTTAGTGTGCAGAACATGGCAAGTAACAATCGGTGTTGAAGGTTCATTGCATTGAATCTCAGCAATTGTTTGCCTTTGGGCTACAGACCAGTGAGTGTTTCATACTCAGAGTTCTATACATTTCTATGTAAATTTCTATAAATTCTGTATAAATTTGTCTTTGCTGTAGTTTTAGGCCAATTGCATATAACTTCAAAGCATTGCTTGTTAACAATTCAATATGAAACGTTCCTGAAAGTTGGATCAAACCTTTCAGTATTTTAGCAAGGGGAAGATGTTTGCTCCTGTGCTACGTTTCCAGTAGTGATAGAGATGTGTAGCATGCTTTGTCACAGTAAAGTATGCTTTTCAAAAGAGCTGATTAATGGTGTTATTAACGTTTCCAAAGGAATGTTACATTATCTGCCTTTCAGTCCAACACTTTCATTTTTGTTTTCTTGTTTTTATCAAAAGAAATGTTAGATGGTATGGAACTCGGGGAGACAGCCCATAAGAAAACTGGGACCACAGTGCCTGAATCCATCCATTCCTTCAGTAAGTTCCTTGGCTGATCTTATGCTGATGCAAAAATTGTTCTCAGATATGGGAATTTCACATGAGACACACATTCCACATTTATGCTGGCAAGGAAGTGCATAATTACCTGTGTTCTCAATTACAGAAAGAGATGACAGAAAATAGAATGGAATTTGGGTTTGTTAGCAATCAGAATGATACTTGGGGAGGACAGATGTGACAGCAGGATGAATGCAATAATTGTTTGGATGATGTCCTAATTCTATGGGTTTTTCCTACTTCTCTCTTGTAGTAGGAGATGGCCTCGTGAAGCCGGAAGCTCTAAATAAGAAAGCAATTCAAATTATCAACAGAGTTCGAGATAAACTCACTGGTAAGCCCTTATTTATGTAAAATCTGAGAAGATGGATCAGCACTATTTTTAATATTAGTATGGTGTGTTAATCCTGTAACTTATATCCAGTAAGGGGAGGGCAGTACAAGTCCCATCAGTCCTGAACTTGCCATCTAGAAGTTATGTTTATGTGACTTCCATTCATGTTTCTTCATCCCTTAATTTCAAAGGTCGAGACTTCTCTCATGATGAAACTCTTGATGTACCCACACAAGTAGAATTGCTCATTAAGCAGGCTACTTCTCATGAGAATCTGTGTCAGTGCTACATTGGATGGTGAGTTTGTCATTCAGCTAACAATGCAAAGTTCTTCTCTGAATGATCTGGAATTAATAATTTGAGCAGAGAAAAAGCCAACAAAAACATTACTTGTGTATTTAGTTCTGTATGGAAGCCTTACCACACGTTGATCTGATCTCAGATTTTGCAGGCTTATGGCAGAGATCCCTTAGACAGTCCACTGTAAGAAAGTGAGTTGTCATAAGGAGTGGTGGGAATGGTAGAGCATTTGAGCTGCAATCAGCCTGAACACTCTAAGTGTTTGAAGTAAGGCATGTTTGGTCACTGATTTCAGTTACAGTGAATAATTACATATTCTGAAGTAAACATAAATTATTTAGTTGCATGTCTCCCGTTTGAGAGAGAGAACAGTGGAATATGCTGAAGGAAACAGTTCTTTTTAGTTTTTAAGCATTAGTTAGCTGGAAAGAAGCATGGGGATCATCTGCCAATTTCTCCTATACTGTGTCTTTAAAATGGTGCCTTGGCAATCTCAGTCCTTCTCAGCATTGCCTTTGTGAAACTGCATACCAGTTAGCATTACCACAACATTTTTGTTTTCTTTAGGTGTCCTTTCTGGTAACAGAAGATTCCAGCCTTTTATTCTGGAGGCTTTTGCACTCCAAACGTGCTCTTCTACAAACACAAACTGAACGTTGGACTGATATACAGCCTTTGTCAAATATTTTGAAATGTAAATGAAAAGAGTTATTGTATATTAAAAGTTGGTTTAAGCCAATTTATAGCTGCTATTGGAAAAACACAAGCTGTCTGAAACACAACAGTTGATTGGGTTTCCAGGACAGTGAAGACTGATTGTACCACAGGTGTCAATGGTTCACTTGGTCTTTAGGGAACTGGTGAATATATACGGGTTTTGACTTATTTTGCAATGTAACTAAGTCACTTGCAGGTGGATTGTTGCCCTGATCAGAAGGTTGAAGCAGATCTTAAGAGTGTAAAGATCTTAAGCTGAACGTAACCGGGTGCCTTGGTGCAGATTGATCAGTGCAAACTGGCTGCGGGCTGCAAATGAGGCACTGCTGGGGAGCTCCCAGTGTCCTGATTAAAAAGCAGTGTTGGGGAATTAGGGGAAATTGATAACTGGCATAGGAGGCAAAAGGGGGAGAGCTGGTCATAACTTGAAACAGAAAATAATGGTTATTAAACAGGGGAGGGGAGGAAGTTGTGAATTATGAATAAAACATTAAAAAAAAAATGCACAAAATACAACAGAGTAGCCATGTTTAGATGCCATGTTGTATTTGAATATTTTTGTGCCAATAAATTACACCAAAACGTAGAAACGTGGGCTACATTCTTGTTTATTCCTAAGTACCTCTTAGGAAGAGGCAGGCAGGCCGAGCTGTAGCAGACCGCAGGCAGGGCCGCATGGGGTGGCTGGGGATCCGCAGGCAGCACGGCCCGCCGCGCCGCGAGGGGGCGCGAGCTGGAAGTCTTGGCACTGTCTAGCCATCCGAACGCGCTGCCCCTTTTCCGCTCTCGGCCCTGACGGGCGGGAAGCTCTCGCGAGAGCTTCTGGGAGTCGCGTGGCTGAGGGGACAAGATGGCGGCCGCCGTCGGCGAGGGAAGAGGCTGCGCGGCGGCGGGGAGCCCAGAGGCCCGAGGGGGCAGAGGGGGGCCTGGGGGGCTGCCCGCGGAGCAGGAAAGAGAAGGGAACCCCGCCGCGGCGCCGGTGCTGCCCGGCTTCGACGACGTCGACGCCTTCGTCAAGGTGCGGGGAGGGGCGGGGGCGAGGCGGGAGGGGCGGGGGCGAGGCGGGAGGGGCG